CATGAGCCACAGTGTGCCCAGGTGGCCAAGAAGGCCAATGGCATCCGGGCTTGCATCAGAAACAGTGCTGCCAGCAGGAGCAGAGAGGTGATTGTTCCCCTGTATTCAGCACTGGTGAGGCCGCACCTCGAGTGCTGTGTCCAGTTTTGGGCCCCTCACTGCAAGAAAGATATTGAGGCCCTGGAATGTGTTCAAAGGAGGGCAACAGAGCTGGTGAGGGGTCTGGAACACAGGGCTGATGAGGAGAGGCTGAAGGAGCTGGGAATGTTCAGCCTGGAGAAGAGGAGGCTCAGGGGAGACCTCATTGCTCTCTACAACTTCCTGAAGGGAGGCTGTAGTGAGCTGGGGGTCGGCCTCTGCTCTCGTGTCATCAGTGATAGGACCAGGGGGAATGGCTTCAAGCTACGGCAGGGGAGATTCAGGCTGGACATGAGGAAGTATTACTTTTCAGAAAGGGTGGTCAGGCACTGGAATGGATGCCCAGGGAGGTGGTGGAGTCACCGACCCTGGGGGTGTTGAAGGAAAGGCTGGATGTTGTGTTGAGGGACATGGTTTAGTGGGAGCTATTGGGAATAGGTGAACGGTTGGACTGGGTGATCTTTTAGGTCTTTTCCAACCTTGGTGATTCTATGATTCTATGATTTAGGTTGGATGTCAGGAGGAAGTTCTTTACAGAGAGCGGTGAGGTGCTTGAACAGGCTGCCCAGAGAGTGTGTGGATGCCCCGTCCATCCCTGGAGGTGTTCAAGGCCAGGTTGGATGAGGCTCTGGGCAGCCTGGGCTGGTATGAAATGTGGAGGTTGGTGGCCCAGCATGTGGAAAAGGAGTTGGAGATCCATGATCCTTGAGGTCCCTCCTAACCCTGGCCATTCTGAAGCAAGACTGTAAGCAGGATTGCAATCCTGGACTTCAAGAGAGCCAACTTTGACCTCTACAAGGACATACTTGGAGGTATCTCATGAGTTAGAGCATGGGAGATAATGGTGCCCAATAGAGTTGGTTAACATTCAAACACCATTTTCTCCAAACTCAAGATGGGTGCATCCCTAAGAGAAAGAAATCAGGCAATGGTGGCAGGAGTCCTGCATGAAGGAGCAGGGAATACTTGGAAAAACTCAAATGTGAGAAGAACATTTAGCCTGGACAGTTGAGATAAATATAGGAATTTTCAGGGTATGTAGAGATGCAGCAAGGATATATTTTAGAAAACCTGCTTTAACAGAGAAGTTAGACTAGATGAACTCCAGTGGTCTCTTCCAACTTCTACCAGAAGAAAATACAACTGCCAGCAGAAAAGAAAAAGTTAAAACAATGATTCAACTTTACAGGAAAAAATGGCATGAACCTTAGACCTTCAAAGAAAGTTGAACGACAGAACAGAAAAACTCAAAGTCAGTTTTAAAACGGCTGGGTGAGTAAAACATTTCAGAAAACGTGTGATACACTTCTACTTGTCCCAGCTTCTGCAGAGACTGTGTCTGTCACATGCAGCCAATGAGTGGAAATTCTGCCAGCAACAAGGGCATAAGAGAATGGAAGCAAAAAGGTAGGCCACCTTAAACATCCAAGCTATACCAACAAGTAAGGGACATTAATCACAATTCAAATTAATAGGAAAGATTTATTGTGGAGTACTGGGCTTGAATTATAGTTCAACTGTAACCATCAGATCTTATTTTTCAAGATATTACTCTATTTCACAGAATCATAGAAGCATATACTCTGTTGGGTTGGAAGGGACCACTGAAGGCCATCTAATTCAACTCCATTGCAATGAACAGGGAAACCTACAGCTAGATCGAGATTCTCAGAGCCTGGTTCAGCCTGACCTTGAATGTTTCCAGGGTCACAGCACATACCGACCCTCTGTATGACCTGTTCCCACTACTTCACTACCCTTGCTGTAAAAAAAGCTCTTTTCCTACATTCAGTCTAAATCCCCCCTGTTTTAGGGGATTTCCCCTTGTCTTGTCACAACACACCCTGCTGAAGAGTTTGTCCTGTTCTTTCAGATACTGAAAGACTGCTGTCTTTCTCTGGTTGTCTCTTCTCCAAGCTGAACAATCTCAACTCAGCTTTCTCATAAGGAAAGCACTCTTCTCTTGAATCATTTTTGTGGCCCTCCTCTGGACGCATTTGAATAGGTGCACAGCTCTGCTGCACTGAGGACTCCACATCTGGATGCAGTGCTCCACGTGAGGCCTCACCAGAGCAGAGCAGAGGGGCAGGATTATCTCCTTTGCGCTGCTTTTGATGCAGCTCAGAATTAAGCTGGTCTTCTGGGCTATGTTCAGCTTGCCAACCACCTGGACCCCAAAGTCCTTTTTGGTAGGGCTGTGCTCTATCTATCCCTCCACCAGATTGTATAGATCGTGGGGGGCTGCTGCAACCCAGATGCAAGATTTTGCACATGGCTTTGCTGAACCTGAGGATGTTCCCTTTGCCCCACTGCTCAAGCCTATCTAGGTCACTTCTCCCATCTGAAAAAAAATAAAAAAATAAAAAGCAAAAGCACAGGAATAATTAGTGACATAAATAGGCTGTGAAAAGTGTATTTTCAGGAATACTTTTTGTATTGTTAAACAGCCACTTTACAGAATTATGACCACTGATATCTGACTCCTTTGGCAAATTTGGTAGCTCCCAGCTACAGGGATTATGCATGAAAACACTGTTGAACTTAAAGGCAAGTCACGTATCAGTGATCAGGTATGCCAGTGTAAGACAAATGATCTGCAGAATTTGAAATGAATTGCAGTGAAATAAATTCCATAAAATCTATTCATAGAGCTGCAGTTAAATTGAAATACATTAAAATGAGTCCCATAAGTTCCTAGCTGCAAATTCCATCTTCTTCTGAAAGCCAAAATAATTGGACTAAAACCAAGAATCTACTCTTCCATTTCACTTACACTAATATAGCTTGATTGCTAAGAGCTTAAAAGCAATTCCCTTATTTGATAACAAACAGATTTCATCACCTAAAGCAAATTATTTATAGCTTAAGTAGTTACATTAGTAGGTTTCTCTTTTTTAATTAGCAGCATGCTGAAAAATAGTATTCCATTTAAACTATTCAAACATTATAGTCAACAGGGGCTTGGATATTTATAATTTTTCATATTGCCTCTCCCTTGCCCCAGAAGAGTTAGTCAGATTTTCACTGATGAAAAGGTGATCCAACGATGATACGTTTTCTGTTAGTAAAAATGTCAGTGGTAACCCTATTTCACAATATACTTTTAATAACATTTCTGAAAGAAAAAGAAGAAAACAGTACAGGTGGACAAATAATCCTATTCTTGTGGAAGTACATAAAAAAGAAGAACATAATCTAACCCAGCGTGCGGTATTTGACTATGTACCGAAAAGCATTCCTCTAAGAGGCACTGTTATAATTTACAGGAGGAAGCATCTCACAGGCACTATGCCATCTACAAGAAACCAAGAGATAAGGACAAAATAATGCCTTCTGTTATGATCTGCAGACAAACCACACCTGCACCTGCCTTCAGATAGCCAAACTGAGCTAGCTGATAAACAAATACTTCAGAACGCTCACACAAGAATTCAGATGAGAACCCTGTACTACACAGAAGTTTCAAAAAAGTACAATAAACAAGGAACTGCACACAAGTTATGAACTAGAGCAAAGACTGACACAAGTCTTACAAAAGGGCTGTGTGCATTGCTTTTGACAGCTCAAGCTGCTGTGCATCTTTTCATTACAGAGAGCTAGAGGCCCTTAAACTCTCCAGGATACACTATCTCACTATTTCAGTATCAGTAAGGCAGCTGATAAGGAACAAAATCAAGTATCTTGTAAGAAGCGACACAACAGGAACCCAAAAGCAATGGCACCATTCAGGCATCAATTTAATTTCAAACAAATTCAGACCTATGGTATTACAGACAAGTTCTAGTCACAGCAGAAAAAAAGTTTGACCAGTTTCAACATGCTCCATTGACAAGAAAACTCATTCAAAAAAAAAAAAAAAAAAAAAAAGTCATGTTTCCTTTCAAAAACTTGCAACCAATCAAAGCACTAAAATTTTCAAGCTTCCAGATTTGGAAGTTCTTTACTATGAATGACGCACAACATACGGAAACGACAAATAAGCATAATGGGAGCTTTTTATAGGAAATCCACTTCCAGAATTCTAAAATCTATTTCTGAATTCAGGTGCTCAACCCAGAGAAATCATTGTTATGCATGCAGAAGTGCCACCTACTGTGTTTACGTAACATGAATACAAATGAGATCAATCTAATAATGGGAGAAATTCAATCCTCGATGTCAGTGACTCAGTTAGACAAGATCTAAGTTCTACTTTCAAAAGTTACATTTAAGACTGCTGTGCTAAAGCCACACTAAGGTATCTCCTAAAAAAATAATTTGAGAAGAAGTTCAATACCTTTTATGAATGCAGCAAAAGGATCACATGTCCATTAATGATACTGTATTAATATCAATGGTATTTTCATATGTGCAGGGAGAGCTGCAATAATTGCATAAACACAGCATATGACATCAACAGTTTTTAACACAGTGGAAAGCAAGTTCATGAATACAACTGTGGATTTTCATGAGACTGTAACATTCAACTTTCACCTTCTTTGTTAGTACAATGCAAAATGCTCAGCCAGGACAAGAATGTTTCACTGCAGGTGGTCCAACGCTTTTGGTAAGAGCAAAAAATTTTCATCTTCATCTTCAACTCAAACTCATTTTCAGTTTTATTAAGAAAAATGATACACCGAAGTTGTGTTAAATGAAAAAAAATTCAAATGACAGAAGGAAAAAAACCCCACCAACGTCAAGTCAACTTTCTCATAAGCTCACACTTTTTTTCCACCGTTAAGTTCTCCTTATCAGCGGGTACCAACTGATAAGGAAAAAAAGATTTCCATTAATTTCCTTAACTAAAATCCTCCTTTCGACCTCGTCAGAAAGTAAACATCTCTTATACACATATCTTTAATTTACATATTATAACTTACCTGCCTGGGAAATCGGAAGAGAGAATTTTTGTAAAATATATCTTTAGCCTGGCTCCAAGTTCCATCAATGATGATCATAACTGGTGGGCTAGAAGACATCACAGTGACTTCTTCCAAATTGGTAGCTTCAGCTCCAGGATACAAAATGAGAGTACTGGGATTTCTGCATACAGCAGCTAGCTCAGGATACCTTCAACGCACACACAGAAGAACACAATAATTACTACAAGTGTCCATGGCAAATATGTACTTCCATGTATTCTATATCGCTTAATCCAATTAGTCTCCTCCAAAGTTCATTTGAGTTTTTACAAAAGGTCCTGCACTTAGTTACTAATCTCTCTTTCCAGCACTTCAAGAAAAAGTGTTGGAGTACTGTGCCCAGTTCTGGAGCATGCAGCACAAGGACACAAAGCTGCTTGGAGCAGGCCCAGACGAGGGCCATGAAGATGATCAGAGGGCTGGAGTCCCTGTGAGGACAGGCGGAGGGAGCTGGGGCTCTTCAGTCTGGAGACGTGAAGGCTCCAAGGAGACCCTCTAGCAGCCTTCCAGTACCTGAAGGGGGCCTAGAGGAAAGCTGGGGAGGGACTTCTTATAAGGGCATGTAGTGACAGGATGAGGGGAAATTGCTTTAAACTGCAAGAAAGTTGATTTAGACTAGATATTAGGAAGAAATTCTTTACTGTGAGGATGGTAAGACACTGGAACAGGTTGCCCAGAGGAGCTGTGGATGTTCCCTCCCTGGATGGAGCTGTGAGCAACCTGGTCTACAGGGAGGTGTCCTTGCCTACAGCGGGGATTGGAACGAGGTGATCTTAAAGGTCCCTTCCAACCCAAACCATTCTAAGTATTGACCCCTCCCTTCAGCTCTTTAGGAGGAAGGAAAAAAAAAGCCACAGGAAAAAAAAAAAAAAAACACAGAAAACATTAATGAAATAATTTGTCAGGAACATTTTCCAATACTTCAAGTCTGAGAATTTCCTTCATAGCATATTTGAACCCAAGATGTTATGAACTGTTTACTAGAATTTAATATATGTATTCGTGCAAAATTTGTTCAAGAGCTAAATACAGAATTGTTACAGTTTCCTCATTTTCAATCTTGTATATATAAGGAATAACAGCAATCCTGATTTATGCCTACAGGAAATTTTTGAGAATTTCACCATTTCAATTTTATTTATTACTATTTCTCTTGCTACCGTCCCAAAATATATACACTGTCTTTTTCCTTCCTGTAAACATAGCAACAGAATCAGGAATTCCAAGCTATTCCCTGTAAGTGTTAATATACACAGAAATTCCTGGAGTTTTTGCAAGCCACTACTATAAGTTAGTTTATAAAATCTATGAGCAGCATTATTATTAAAGTATCACATTGGACATCTTAAAAAACACCTAGGAAGAAAGAATAGATGATAAGGGACAATCTGAGAAAATGCTAGCAATGCTTAATAATGATTTTTGAGTTGCTATATAGCCGGTGCACTTCAGAACCTGTGCAACCCATTATCAATCTCTGGGGACATACGTGAAAACAGGTTTTTATCAGTATGAGGTTTCGATGCAATTGCACTGTCTAGCACATTGAGATCCTGAGCTTAAGACCAGAAATGAAAGAGGAAATGAATTCAGGGTACCAATGTGTTCAGAGCCATTATACCAATATTTGACCATTCTCAGTTCCCAAGCAAACAATCGAGGTTGATTTAACAATACATAGTTAATTACTGAAGAGAATATTTACTATAAAAAGAGTAGCAATATTTACTTACAAAGCAAACAGTATAAGAAGTGTAAACGGAGGCAAGAAATATGTAAGATAAGTCTGTGCCAAATAGAATGACATGAAAATTTACCTGCCCATCATTTTTTTTTTTTTAACCTAACTTCCATTATCATTTTAGTTTAAGGAAAAATCATGCTACACAAAATCAGAGCCAAGGGGTATCTCACTACAGGCTACACTGTACTCAAGGCTTAAATCTACAAAATTGTTCACTAATTTCAGATGTTTGTCCTGAGAGCCCAAACCCTCAGAAGTGCTAAGTACTTTAATTGAGGGTTGGGAGAGCTTTCCAATAATTAAAAACTCGTAGGTAGTTAAAATAAAAAAGTCTTTGAAATGGGCGTTTAGCCTTGAAGGCAGGAGAAAATGCAAATTTTCTCTTAATACTAATGCAAAACCATAATCATTCTGCAGCACTGGAAGTCATGTTTTCCTTTTAAGCAAGTGCTAAAAAGAAGGCACTGTGTACAAATGCACAAAACTCAGTGCATGGGTAAACTTAACAACTTCTTCTTTCACATAGGGCACACCTGTTACATACTTTGACTTTACTTGAAGAATTTCTTATTTTCCCCAACAAACTGTTTAAAAGCCATGTGGATATATAGTTTAGTACTAATCTAAGAAATGTTCTAAGAAACTTACATCATTAGAAGTATGAAAATGCAGTAAAGAAATGAATGTCAAGTAAGTAAAGCATTTCAGAATGCTAAAAAACACAGAAATCCAAGATGATCAGGTTTGCAACGACCCAAGGAACCTGAACATCCACAAGTCTACAGCTACTGATGAGATGCACCCCAGAGTCCTGATGGAACTGCCTGATGCTGTCACCAAGACACCCTCAATGATGTTTGAAAAGTTACGGCAATCAGGTGAAGTCCCTGGTGACTGGAAAAAAGGTACCATCACACTTATTTTTAAGAACAGTGAAAGAATGACGCTGGGAACTATTGACCTGTCAGTCTCACTTCTATGCCAGGAAACATCGTGGAACAGATCTGCCTGGAAGCAATGCTAAGGCACATGGAAGAGAGTGAGGTGTTACAGGAGAACCAGCGTGGCTTTACCAAGGGTAAATCCTCTTTAACCAACCTTCTATGATAGTGTAACTGCATCAATAGACAAGGGAAGTGCCACCGACGTCATCTACCTGGACTTCAGCAAGGCCTTTGATATGGCACCCAACAACATCCGTCTGTCCTAATTGCAAAGATTTGGATTTGATAGTAGACTGTTCAAAGGACAAAGAACCTGCTGCAGAATTGAATCCAGAGAGTGGTGGTCAATGGCTCAATGTCTGGATGGAGATCAGTGATGGGTAATGTCCCCAGGGATCAGTGCTGTGACTGATACTATTCAGTATCTTCATTGCTGTCATCCACAGTGGGGTTGTGTGCACCCTCAGCACGTTTGTAGATGACACCCCAAACTGTGGGGTGCAGTCGACATGCCCAAGGGACAGGATGCCATCCAGACAGACCTAGAGAGGCTGAGCAGTGGGCCCAGGAGAACCTCATGAGGTTCAACAAAGCCAATTGCAAGGTCCTGCACCTCCATTACGAATACAATCCAGGGGATGAAAGAACTAAGCACAGCTCTGCTGAAACGGACTTGAGCATACTGGCGGATGGGAAGCTGGACATGAGAAAGCCCTCAGAACCATGAAAGCCAAACATATTTTGGGCTGCATCAAAAGAAGTGTGGACAGCAGGATAAGGGAGGCGATCGTGCTCCTCTGCTCTGCTCTGGTGAGATCTCACCTGGAGCACTGTGTCCAGACGTGGAGTCCTCAGTACAGGAGAGACATGGACCTGTTAGAGTGCATCCAGAGGAGGGCCACAAAAATGAGGGATAGAACACCTCCCCTACGAGGACAGAGTTAGAGAGCTGGGGCTGTGTAGCATGAAGAAGAGAAGGCTGTGAGGAGACCTAGGAGCAGCCTGTCAGTATCTAAAGGGGAGCTGTAAGAAAGAATGGGACAGACTCTTTAGCAGGGCCTGTGGTGACAGGACAAGGGGAAATGGTTTCAAACTTCAAAAGGGGTGATTTAGGTTGGACATAAGGAAAAATTATTTTACAGTGAGGGTGGTGAGACACCAGAACAGGCTGCCTAGAGGTGTGGTGGATACCCAGTCCCTGGAGATATTCAAGGTCAGGCTGGACAGGGCTTTGGGCAACTTGATCTAGCTGTAGGTGTCCTTGTTCACTGCAAGGGGGTCAGATCAGATAACGTTTAAAGGTCACTTCCAACTCTTAAGGATTCTATGACTCTATGATTCCTAGAAGCAAAAAGGAACACCCAGTGAAAAGCCCCTTTAAGAAAACTACACAAGAGGAAATGCAAACATTACGTCTGAAGTCTGAGTCTTTGCAATGCAATTCACAGGAAAACAACAGCTTTCTGATGCACTGGTATCTTCAAAGAGCTATCACTGACTTCAACTATCAACTGATTTCGTCCTTGAATGACAATCAGCACATACAGAGAACTATTTAGAGCTATTTAGCTTTCATGTTAACAGTTTCTCAGAAATACATGCAACCTTTTCCAGGTTATAGTTCACACAAACAGTACCTGCTGCCATCTGTCACACAGCAACAAAATGTAAAGGAATACAAGTGGGAAGGTTCAACCTCTACTGCTGTACCACCAACATCTGCCTTTGACATTTCCCCAGCATAATAAAAGAAGAGGCATTACTTTCAGAGCAGCTTTCACACATATGAAGAATATCTGTTTTCACAGCACCTGAACAATAATTTGCTTCTAATGAGTTTGCTTTGGTAAACACTGTAATACACTCTATTTAATTACACAGTATTTATGAAGTGCTGCTATATGTTGTGGTATGAAAGGATTTTCTCTACTAGTGTCAAATGTTTTCAAAGGAAGCTTACAGGAAATAATTGCAAAAAATAAGCAATTTCACTGCAACGCTGAAATAGAGCTTTTGCTTAATGAAAACCTCTTTTGAAAACCTTATCCACAGTCAAGGCACAACTTTTTTTTTCTACACAAGTTTTGTCTTGCATGCTTAAATTTACAAAGACGTGAAAAAAAAATCTAGGAATTAGATGTAATCTTCAGCCTTATTTCTGAAAAAAAAAACCTGCACATAGTCCTACTTTAAAATACTGATTTCATACTGATTTCATTTTGAATACTATTCATTTATTCCATTGTGAGACAAATGCTATGGCTTATTAAAAACATAAGAGATAACTTCATTAAATGTTGATGTTTATATTCATGATGATTCTGATAATACCGAAGGATCTCTAGAGATGTTAAAGGATATCTGCCAGCTTTGCAAGTCTCCTCAGAGCCACAAAAGAAGTAGGTCAGTGCTAAGCTACAAATGGTAATATACTTCTGCAAATTCTTAGGGAGACGTGCC